CTCGTCAAGTCTCGTCGTCACGTCTTGTCTATGTTTCGTCTTCTTCCACGATCAGAAAACTCTAATCTATGAAATAATTTAAACACATTTATCATCAATGTACGTTATAAACTCTTATTCAGATGTGATATGCATATTTTGAGGGATATTAAGAAGTATTAAAAACACGAAAAAATAAAAACTATTGACATGGTAAACAGATTTGGAATATTTAATAAAATTATATTTTTTCTCTGATAATTTAGCTAACACTATTTAATATATCAAAACCTCATCAATACCTTCTCTTTCTTTGAAGAGATTTTGATTTGCAATAATATCCTAACAGATGTTGGGTAAGATGAATAACTCATTGCATTAGTGAAAAGGTGTTCCATTTAGTGGTGTTCAAATTGAGATGACACACATAATGATGTAAATAGGACTCTTACTGATCCTAAAAATAATATACCTAAGTTTTTCATCTACTTTTTGATATTTATTCAAAAACATCATTCAAGACCTCAAAAATAGTCAGAAACTGCTACTGTATATTCGAGGAATGAGGATACTTTCTTTGAATTGCAGATTTTATTAATAATTAACAATACATTTTAGGTAGGTGGGAACTAAATAAAGAAATTTGACTAAACGTTATCCTTGTATTTTGATTATGCACTCAAAATTCAATTTTCTTAAAATATTCAACCATAGACTAATGGTTTGATACGAAAAACATTTCAGAAAAGTTCACACCTTTCCAAATCAGCTGAATTTAGTGTCCCTTAAATGGATATTCACAGTACTACCACGCATGTCGGGATATCAGTCAACAGATATTTCTGGGGCGGTGATATGTCGGAACAGACACCTTGAGGGAAACGTCAGGTCCCGTCACGTCTAGTCACGTCAAGTCTCGTCACGTTTCATCACGTCACGTCTCGTCACGTTTAATCACGTCACGTCTCATCACAACTCGTCAAGTCTCGTCACGTCACATCACGACTCGTCATATCTCGTCACGTCTCGTCACGTCTTGTCTTGTCTCGACACGGCTCATCACATTTCGTCACATCTCGTCATGTTACATCATGTCTCGACACGTCTAAAAAGGCTTGTCACGTCTCGTCGTCACGTCTCATCGTCATGTCTCGTCACATCTCGTCACGTCTCGTTACGTCTCGTCACGACTTGTCACGTGTCGACACGTCTCATCACGTCGCGTCACGTCTCGGTACGTCTCGTCACGTCTCGTTGCGTCTCGTCATGTCTCGCCACGTCTCGTCATGTCTCGACACGTCTCGTCACGGCTCGTCACGGCTCGACACTGCTCTTCCAGTGTCATCACGTCTTGTCACGTCTTGACACATCACGTTACGTCTCGTCACGTCTCGTTACGTGACGTCACGTCTCGTCACGCCATATCTCGTTACGACACGTCATGTCTCGTCACGTCTCGTCACGTCACGTCTCATCATGTCTCGTCACGACTCGTCAAGTGTCGTCACGTCTTGGCACGTCTTGTCACGTCTCGACACGTCACGTCACGTCTCGTGACGTCTCGATACGTCTCTTAATATCTCGTCACGTTTCGTCACGGCTCGTTAAGTCTCGTCCCGTCTCGTTAAGTCTCATCACGTCTCTTTACGTCTCGTCTTGTCACGCCTCGTCTCGTTATCTTTCGTCGCGTGTCGTCACGTCTCATCAATTTTCGTCACGTCTCATCACGTCATGTCACGTCTGTGGCCATGTTATGCACGTCTCTTCACGTCTCGTCACGTAACGTCAGTATATTTCACTACTGACTAAAACCTACCTATTCTGAATAATATGAAAACGTGCATTTCCGGAAAAATAATATTCAGTAAATGACTGTCAAACTACCTAGTACATGTATCATTCTGTGAATTTTTAGTTCTACGTACGTCTCATGTCGGGTTTACAGTAATTTTACCAATAAAATTTCTCTCGTCTTGTCAAATCAAGTCACGTCCCCTTACGTTTCGTCTCGTTACGTGATGTCTCTCGTCTCGTGCGTCCCCTGCAGTCCCGTCACGTTAAGGGCGTGTTATCTCATGACATGTCATGTTATAGTATATTAAAATTTACTTTGTAATAAATATCTTTAATAGTAAAAGTATAGATTAGGTGCCAAGTCCCTTCTCGTCCCTGTCCCTTCTCGTCTCGTGCCTTCTTTTCTCTTCTCGTCTCTTATATCTTCTTCCTCAAAGGCATGCGTTCGGTATAAATATTGATTTATTTGACCGAAATTCAATTTTTTCTACAGTATAAACGCTTGATTAATGGGCAAGAAACTAATAAAGTTATCAAAATCATTGAGTAAATAACTCTTTCTTTGGTATTTAAGGTCGCAACAAAATCTTGGACATTAGTGACCACTATTGCATATAACGGTTTGGCAACTGTGAAGCTGACATGATATATCAATGGGAGAGGGTGAAAGGACGAACACAAATACAACCATGCGCGACTCGAGATTTTAACCCACGACCCTTCGGATCTTAATAATCTAGCCTATCCGGATCGAACACTACACTTTTATCTAGAAGACAGGATATGATTTGGTATGAGACTGATTAACAATCAAAAATTGTAGTTTTTCTCTCAAACACATAAGCTTGCAAAATAATACATGGAAGAATTACCAGACCGATTCTGTTGAATGTAAAGGAAGATCAGAAATATTGATTTTATGACGTCTAGAAGAATGTAGAAATATTTAAAACACATTTTTCTTGTACGAATAATTTATTTTCAGACATATATATCTTTAAAAATCTATTTGAAAGTACCTGTAAATATGTACCTAATTATAAATGAACATATTAATAATATCAGTGATAGGATGATGGATACAAATGTTTATACATGTCTAGATATCAAGTATTCAAAGATTTGACAAAAACAATAATACGTAATTTTATTGGTTTACAATATAACAAAATAATTTTAATAATATAGTATAACATTTAACGAAAGATGCATTTTCATGCATAGCAGTGTGAACATCCATGTAATGGCCAATAAGAACTCATGTGGAGACTATTCTGCATCATTCTGAGTGTTGATGTGATCTTGATTTTTCGCCAATGCGTTGAGGAGAGAGTAAACATAGCTTCTGTGAGGCGGCGTGGCGATCTCCGAGGGTCCAACCGACTTGTGGCTGGCCACAGCAAACTGACAGGAGGGGTCGGTGTGGCAAGACACTGAGAAAAGGAGCAAACTGGGATGAAAATATGTTTCCATGATCTTTAAATCATAATATTTCAAATAATTTAAACACGTTTATCAACAAGATTGTATCATATAAACTCTTTCATTCAGATGTGATGGTCATATTTTGAGTGATATTATAAGTATTAAGAACACAAAAAAACAAACAAACTGATTGATTCTGACTTGCAATAATATCCAAACAGATGTGTGGGCATATGAATAACTCATTACATTAGTGAAAGTTGTTATATTTTTTGGTGTTCAAATTGAGATGTCAGACATAAATGATGTAATATTGGACACTTTCTGATACTAAAATTAACATTCCTAAGTTTTTCTTGTACCTTTAAGATATTTTTTAAAATAATCATTCAAGAACTTAAAAATAAGTTAGGAATTGCTAATTTATAACGGAGGAATACAGATACTTTCTTTGAATTGTAGATTTTCCTAATAATTAACGAGACATTTCAGGCAACTTTGAACTAAATAAGACATTCGGGGAAACGGTATCCTTGTATTTTGATTATGAACTCAATATTCAAATTACTTAAAATACTGAACATTAAACTGAAATCTTGATACGTAAAACATTTCAGAAAAGTTGAAACCTTCCCGAATCAGCCGTATTTAGGGTCCCTTAAACGCATATGATCAATACTACCACGAAAGTCGGGATATCAGTCCGGAGATATTTCTGGGAAACTGCCACATCGGAGAAGACATCTTGAGGGAAAGGCATATTAGCCGACGTGTAGGCAAGCATGTGATCTCACATTCCAGCGCAAGAGGAACACCGCAAATTCCTGGGAATAATATTCACTACACTAAAGGAATTAATGATCGTATTAGTTGACGAGTCCGGAAACACTATAGCCGTGGCGCATGCGGCGACGATGGTGTAACGGTTAGCGTATCGGACTGTTATACCTACGTTGGTGGGTCCAAACCCGTCCGAAGCCGTGGATTGTTAACGGCGAAATAATCCTTCTAACGCCTACCTTAGCGGGGAAGTAAAGCCGGTTGTCCCATGTTAGTAGATTTACTTGCATGTAAAAGATCTTCAAGCCTAAATGATACCTTCGAGCTAAATCCTAGTCGCTTGTTTCGTCGCCCAAGAAATACCTCCTTTCTCCGCTAGTTGGTGGAAGGAGCGTAGCGAACTTTGCGAGATCAGACGGAAGAGCAGGTCTGATGGCCCGAGTCTCGCCACGCAAAATAAGGCATCAATTCTAATCAATTCAATTGCTTGCATGTAAAAGATCCTCAAGCCTAAATGAAGTATCTGAGCTAAATCCTAGTCGCTTGTTTCGTCGCCCAAGAAATATCTCCTTTCTCCGCTAGTTGATGGAAGGAGCGTAGCAAAATTTGCGAGGTCAGACGGAAGAGCAGGTCTGATGGCCCGAGTCTCGCCATAAGGCACCGATTCGATTCCATTCCATTCCGTTCGTTTCGATTCGATTGATACCATTCTATTCGATTCTTTTCGATTCTATTCGATTCTTTTCGATTCTATTCGATTCTTTTCGTTTCTATTCGATTATTTTCGATTCTATTCGATTATTTTTGATTCTATTCAATTCGATTCTATTCAATTCTATTCCATTCTATTTGATTCTTTTCGATTCTATTCGATTCTATTCGATTCTTTTCTATTCTATTCTATTCTATTCTATTCTTTTCTATTCTATTCGATTCTTTTCGATTCTTTTCGATTTTATTCTACTCGATTCTATTCGATTATTTTCGATTCCATTCGAATCTTTTCGATTCTATTCTATTCAATTCGATTCACGCAGACCTTGGGTGCAGCAGAGGGCGCTGGTGGCGCAGAAGCCCCGCCCGCCGAAGCAGCGCGGGCCGAGCGCGGGCTCCACGCAGGGGTCTGGCGACAGCGCCTCTGCCGCGCACGGCTGCGCCTCGGGGCCGCCCAGCAGGCAGCCCAGCTCCTCGGCGCAGCAGATGGACGGGCCGTAGCAGTGGCCCGTGTTGTTCGGTCCGCAGCGCGCGCACTGCGAACGCAGAGGGAACGAATGGCTGATGTGGACTCGATTCAATGATTCGTTATTTCGTTATTCGTTATAGTAGAGACCGGAAAAATATGTAGTATAAAACGTCAACATATGTACATAAATAGAAAATGAAAACAGAATGAATATGTAAAATAGGATAAAGTATATTATATCAAATGAAAATATGTAATATAAGTTATGTAATATAAATATATATGTAGTAAATATATGTAATATCAAATAAAAATATGTAATATAAGTAATGTAATATAAATATATATGTAATAAATATATGTAATATCAAATAAAAATATGCAATATAAGTAATGTAATATAAATATACATGTAATAAATATATGTAATATCAAATAAAAATATGTAATGTAATACAAATATACATGTAATAAATATATGTAATATCGAAATACACCAATTATAAAACTATAATTACCTAATACGAAATTACATTTATAAAAAAATCCAAAATTAAATAAAATGAAACTAATAAGATTTTTAAACAATTTGGACAGTACAAATTGATGCATGCTTTGTACCATACAACGTTCCCGTCAGTTGTAAAACCTTCATTTACTACTATTCAGTGCGGTCGTTTAGCATCCAGACTAGACGCAATAGAAACCATCCTACAATCCAGCGATATCTACGACCAGCAATCACTGCAGCGTGCAGCATTCTAAGCGAAGTATTACTTGTCGGCGATCGCCAAAGTTTCTCGGAAGTTAAGGTTAAAGTTCACGAAACGTGGCGTCAGTGATACTTTTCACTTCTGAAGGTGAAACTGATCTCAGTCACTGACGCGCAACCCGCCACTGAGATAACTGATACAGACGAACAGGACTGTGAGAAGATCCTACCGCGATATGTAGCGAACCTAGAGTAGACAGCACGCAGTAATGCTGAGGGAAATAAGAGTATTTTTAAATACTTCTTTTCACACAAATAAGTCATAAAATTGAAGAAAATGGATAGAATGAAAAAGTATTTTGTGAAAATTGCAAAATATGTAAAATATATAAAATAGTACAAAATGTGTAAAAACACGTAACGAAAAATATTACGTTATATTACGAAATATTACGTAATATAATATTCTGTTACGACGGCGACGATTTCCCAAGATTAATATTTTTAGATTAGTAAGTAGAAAGACAAAAAATATGTAATTACATAAAAATCCTGTCTCTAGTCGTTAGTCCCGAGAGCGTTGTGAATGTTTTATCACAGAAGGGGGAGGTGACGTTTTCTTCAGATGGATGGCGAGATCCGGTGCCGACTTACACGTCAGCCTTCGGGGGTTTCTCCGACCAGGTATCTCCCACTAGCAGCCCGTCCCCTTCAAGCGAGGACAAGGTTTCCCGACTTGTGTGGTAGTGTAGTTCATGTAAATGTAAGTGTGTGTGTAACAAAGAGGTAAAGATAAGACAGGGAAGAGAAAGGAAAGATTGCACACGGTCCCTCGCTCGTTTATCAGGAGATTGCGCTGGCAGTCGCGCGGTGTTGATCGAAAAAAAACAGGGAAAACTACCTTTCAGAGTAGCCAGCAGCTTAAATTGTTCCAGAAAGGGGCTGAATTCAACCTAGCTATTTAGCTAATGATGAAACATCTCCCACGATACTGGAGCTCTAAGACCGCTCGGTCAGAGACACCACATTGACATCGGTTGATGCCCTGAACCATCCAAGCGGTTTGTTTGGTCCGGTCTGTATTTGCAGCTATGCAAAGATAGTGAATGAGAAATGACGAATCAGTTATCTAGTAAGTGAATTCCAGATTATCGTTTTTCAGCATCATTCAAATTAGTTTGTCTGAATAGCTCGATTCTGGCATCAAATAGTGAAATTAGCAATATAGATCTACATGTCAGAATGTAGTTTATTCTTCATGGGAAATCATTTTTACAGAAGTCGTTGCAAAATTTTATGATTTAACGGCAGAACTATATGTGGAATCATACAATTTATTCAGTCCAAAAACAACCCCAATTTTCCGATAAAGTTGTACTAGTCACGATCTCGTTGCCTTAAATCTTTCACACTAATCCGACCGGAATGAAAGATGCTTTGAGCGTTTAATTAAACTACGCTCTATTTACCTCCAAGAAACAACAAAGATGCATGCTAAGATTACAATTATTTACTGAAAATCAATACCGAATGTATACAATATGACAATATATACATGTGAAATATGTGTTTAAGGAGTAATAAAAAAATAGAGAATAAAGATACATTAAACTTTTGGGTTGTAACTCACATTCCTCATTGGAAGTATTTCGTTGTTTTCCATCGCTGAGCGTTTCCCTCCTCTGGGACAGTTGATGATCATGCAAGCGCAGCTGAAAGTGAGAATCATCATCAAAACGATAATGTTGCTGTGGAGCTTGAACTGTGCCATGTTGTTGGGCGCTGGTCTTCTTTCTTCGGTTCCTGCACACGAACTGGATCCTCAGAGCTTCGACGGGGTTTTTATACCCACAACTTACGTCAAGCAGATATCATTCTTATTCAGAGCATATGTGTTTTGATTCGTATTTCTCAGCTCCGTTATTTAAATATTCTTTCTGTGCAGGACGATCACAATGGAGCCCTTTTCAAAGAGCTTTTCCCAGTCAGATGTGGATTAGAAAGAAAGCCTTACAGTGCATTAAAGAATCCTCTTCTGAGCATATTTTATGCGTCTTAATGTGGACTTTGCATACAAAAATTTCCCACCTTCAAGTTGGCATTCAAATAAACTGTTTTTTTAATAATTCAAATTATTTGCACGTTTAACAAAAAATTAATTGCTTATAGATAAGAGTAATATTCACACATATATGACTTCACATATAAACTTTTATATTATATTAATGAATTATTGTTTTATTATAATATATTTAACTATAGCACATATAGTAGTAATAACAGATATTAATTTGTAAACTGAAGAATGAAAGGGACCCCAAAACCTGGTTTTCCGTCAAAATCTCGAAATCGATTTTCCGCAGCATTACATAACTTTCCCTATACCACGTATATACGTACGTATACGGGAAAGTAAAAAGTATGGTTCGCGGATATGGCAGTTGATGATACTAGCAATCTTACGACAGTGTATCAGGCGAAGATCCAGAAGTACCAAGAACTGGCCCATATCGTTACAGAACAATGGGATATCCTAAAAACAAAGTCTGTCCCTGTCATTCTTTCAGCGACGGAAATCATTCCGAAGAACTTAAAGTACTTGCTAGAAACACTTGGATTTACGAAAAGTGTCGCCTTCGGACTGCAGAAATCTGTTTAACTAAGTACGTGCTCATTGGTCAGGAAATGTCTGGAAAATAATGGAAGTTTTTAGGTTTTACAATAATCAATGTTAATGTTTCTGAATTGTACCCATAAATAAGCCTCTATTAGTCGTCTCTACGACAACTACTAAATTTGTTCATTGATATGCAATTTAAGTGTGTGTAATTTAATTTATGTGTTAAGAATTTGGAAGTCATGCTTTGGTAGGTGATATCTGTATGACTTCTGTCTCAGCACCAGTGAGCTGTGCCCGATTTAAGCAATAATAACAACAATAGCAATAACAATAATAATAATAATAATAATAATAATAATAATAATAATAATAATAATAAAAATTATAGTAGTAATGCCGATCCGATGGTTGGAATCGCTAAGCCGGTAGTGTAATGGCGGTCTCGGACCAAACAATGGCGTGTGAGAGATCTGCCTTGGACATGCTCGTGTTGTGTGTGTCTGTATGTTTGTGTGTGTCTATTTCATTATTCATCATTATCATTACAATTCCCCCTCCCCCATCTTCCAGGGCTAACCACCCTGGGGTGTAAAAATGGAATCAGCGTTAACATGCTGATCCCCTCCAATAGAAAGTAACGTGCACTTTCCCCAGATATCCAAGACTAAGCCCGTAATCCCATGATGGCCGATTCGCGAAAATAATAATAATAATAATAATAATAATAATAATAATAATATGTTAATGGGAGCCATGTTCGGCAGAGCGCGAACTTTTTCTTAATTGTTAAAATAGGCACTCATTTTGTAAAACCGCTAATTACAAATTTGTGAATTAAAATACACAAAATATTTCCAAACAATCAACGTTTAGCTACTCTATTCATCTTAACTTCTTTGTTTCGCATAGTTCGGCGATGTAGACCTCAAGCAGATTCTATGTGCAATTAAGTGGTAAAAGTTCGAGTTTGGCGAGGTCAACACGCTATTATTTCTAGGCAATTATCACCAGCCTAGCGCAATTTCTGTGCAATCCATAGAGAAAATGCATTACCTATTTTTACGTTCTCACCCTTAGAAAGGTACTTCTTGCAAAGGTACAAGGTTGTACTTTGTAAGAAGAGAAAGTTATGTAATTGTGCGCCGGAAAACGGTGAATTTTCGGAAGAAAAACTCTTATTGCCGGGTCCTGGTAAAAAAAAGTGGATAAATCCTGTTGCTATGTATAGTACGAGTATATTACTTCCTCTAACACGTGGTATAGCCAGATATTGTTTTGTGGGTTCACGATATCGAAAAAGAGATGGACAACAAAAGTCTGTCTGTATGTCTGTCTGTCTGTCTGTCTACCTATCCGTGTGTAGTCAACGTTATCGCCAACAAAACCGTTCAGTCGATTTTGATATTCCCCGATCGACCTGAACAAACTCGAGGCTTTGGCAGTTTTAACCGGATATTTTGATTTTTTAGGGGACTTTACATGAAGCCTCAAAAACATTTTCAAAACGTTTTCAAAAATGGCATCAAATGTTTTGATTAAACTTTGTTCTCGTATAGCGTAAAGGATGCTTAAGAGAATGGTGCAAGACTCATGTTCGTTGAAATTCCAGATTTTTTGAAAATTGTAAAAAACAATTTTTGAAAATATGCAATTTTTTGAACGTTTTCAATCAATTATAATAAGAAAGATGGAGATTTTTTGGTTTATAAAATCTGTTTCTAATAGACAAATCTTCAATTAAGTTCATGATCAGTTTTTTGAAATGAGTAGTTTTCGTGTTGTTTTGCGCCAAATATGGGCATTTGAAAACATTTTAAACGTTTTTTTCTCAAAAAGCGCACAAATTTTTTTCTGTTGATTTTCTCCTCATATGTAATAAGGGGTAAATAATATACTGCTAGAACCATTGTCAGCATTGTCTTGTTTTTTCCAAAATTGTCAAAAGTTAACATTTCAAAACTACTAACTTTAAGATGGAGATTTTTGCCTCAGACAAAGTCGGTTGAAAGAAATCAGCTCTTTATGTCATACCAAGTCATGTCATATCATGTATACTTTTTTTTGGGAAAAACAATTAACTTAACTTAAACATAACTTAAAATTTATACAATTTCTAAAAAACAATATTTTCTCAAATTTTCCTTTAGATTTTTTCCCACGGATAGGAGAGACGCTAAAAAGAATAGCGCCTGACTCATTTTTGTTGAACTCTGAATTTTCGAAAATTACAACCACAGAAAAAATACGAAAATATAAAGCATGTGTGGTGTTGTTGCATCGTTAGTTTAAAAGCTTCTAGGGCATTTGAGTAGCTAAAATGTTGGGTGAGTACATTTCTTTAGATGTGAAAAAAAATCAGAGAATGTTTGGACACTGACTATTTGGCTCTGACCATTCCTTTCTAAGATGAAACCAAGAAATTAAAATGTTTGTCGTTGGAATTAAATTAAAAAACATTGTCTAATTCAGAATACGTTTGAAATATGTGTGGTGTCTTTCAAAAGCAATGAGTAATTCAAGTGTTCTAATATTTAAGAAATGTCCAAATAAATAACACGCAAAGAGTGTTTGTCAATGAAATATTTCTCAATATAGTTTTGTTAAATCAATATTTGGAAGATGGTGATGTAGGTACAACAATGTATTAAGTTTATTCCAGCAATGAAATTAAACAAATCTAAATAAATCTAATAAATGTACTTATAAAATCATTGTTAAATAAATCGTGTTGTTTAAATACCTCTGAATAAGCTACTTCACCGACGAATGATTGATTGATTGATTGATTAGTGATTTCCTGCTATGATAATTACTCCCGTAAGTGTACTGCTTTTTTAGCGTGAGAGATATTGTGGAGGTTACCTTGGTTGCTGGCAAGATATGGCGACCTCCGTCGGCTTGCGGAGATTTTCCGCATCCATGCATCTCCCACAGGCCCCTCCCAGGAACCATCTCAGTCAGGTCAAAGTTTAAGCTCGAATCTGGTCTGCCGACAAGTGAAGTGCGTGCGTGCGAGTGTGTCTGTGTGTGTGAGAGAAAATGTAAGTAACGTGCGAGGAAAGTACAAGGAAGAGAGAGGAAATATCTGTAAGGAGCGCGATCCGTGGCCCGTTTGTTAGGGTATCGCTCCGGCATTCGTCTGGTGTTGATCGAAGAAACCACGGAAAACTCCCAATCAGCGGCTGGCCACAAGAATTCTGCTGCAGACAGTTGCAGAATTCGACCTAGCTATCTCGCTAGTCTCTAAAATCCTGCCACCTTCGGAACTCGAAACTTAGGACTTGCCTGTCAGAGGCACTGCAGTGACACCGGGTGATGCCAGAGCTACATTTGCCGGTACCAACGAGTTAATTGTTTTTTTTTTCTTGTTATTCAAGGTCTCACCCACTTCTAGGTCATTAGCGACCACTATTGCTTCTATCGGTATGGTAATTGTGAGGATGACACGATATGATGACAATAGGTGGTGAAAAGACAAACACAATACAACCATGCCCGAGGCGGGCCTCGAACCCGCGATCCTTCGTTCCGAGATCGCTGCGGCACGACTGCCTTTACGATCTCGGCCATCCGGACCGACAGTTCCGCAATTGTTGAGTTGCGTGGTTGGAAGACAAAGCGACAGATCTCGTCAGACGGAGACCGCGGTGTGCATTGGCTCGCTGCAGGAGCGCATCGCTGTCCGCGGGCGGTGGCGATTGGCGCGTCGCGGGCGCTAACCGCTTAACGACCCCCGGCGCACGCGAGCGCATGAGTAGGTGGGCGGGGAGTACGTCGCCACTGCAGCGCAGCGCCCGCGGCGCGTGCAGGGACCACCGGCCGAGACGCGCCTCACTACCCGCGCCCCCCGCCGCCTCAGTCGCCTCACCACCCCTTCCCGCACCTCTGTCGCCCTGCTCCCGCCGTCTCCCACGCCATCGGACACTCCGAATCCCCCCGCCACCCCCGCCGCCCGCGCCCCCGCCGCCCCAGCCGCCCCCGCCGCCCCGCGCCCCCCGCCCCAGCGACCCGACGCCGCCCACGCCTCCACCGCCCCGCCACCCCGCACCCCCGCCGCGCCGGCCGCCGCCGCCCCCGCCGTCCCTGCGCCTCAAGCCACCCCGCCAGCCCAGACGCCCCGAACGCCCCAGTCGCCCCCGCTACCTCTATCGCCGTCGCCGTCCCCACGTCCCCCGCGCTCTCGCCGCTCACCACCCGCTCCCCGCCCCCGACCGCCCCGCCGACCTGCCTCCCCCGACGCACCCGACGCACCCGCAGCCCCCGCCCGACCCCGCGCCCACCACCCTCGCTAGGCCTCTGACGCACTAGTCGCCCCAGTCGCCCTCGCCGTCCCCGCCGTCCCAGCTGCTCACCAGCCGCCTCAGTCGCCCCAC